ACAGAGAGGAAGATTCTTGTTGCTAAGTGCCATTGAGACTTTACTTTAAGAAGTCAGTAAATCACAGCCCTAAACATAATGACCCCATTTCTTTACACAGCTCTTTTCATGAAACCCCTTTTAGCTTCTAGGTGCAGACTGAGTGCCAGCTGCACTGAAGGTTCAACACTAACAATATGGGACACAGGCCAGTGCTGGAATGAGAGTACCCAGGATGGATAACAGATTTCAGGTGCCAATACTGGTGGGAACAGAGCCCCAGATCTAGAAGAATCCTAGGAGCTGGATTCCTCCTCCCATCGCCTTCCACTTCTGCCCCAGGGAGCCCAGTCCTTATATATATGCCTGACAGGCACAGGGAGAGGGGACACCGGGACCCAGGTGGGATGGGAGACCCAGGGACATTTGGAGAGTCACTCACCAGTTTGGTAAATTGCCTTCCTCCAGTCTGAAAGGCAATACACAGGAAATGAGGTGAACTAAGAACCAGAATATCTTCCCCAAGCAGGACACTGAGAGTTCAGGAGGAAGAGAAGAACTTACTCAGCTCTCTCTGTAGTTCATCTGAAAGATATGGGGAAAAAGAAAAAAAGAAGCATGAAATCTATGCCTAAAAAAAGAAAAGACTGTGCTGGAGAACCCACACAAAAAGACTCCCTCTGTATACTGCAGAAACTTCTCCTTCTAGATGCATTCGAGCCCTCGTGGCCCATAGTGCACCTCTCCAGATCTCCTGAGATTCCTGTTCTGAGTAAGGGCCCTGGGTATCCCTGGAAACCACTGCTACCAGCTCTGTTCCTGAACTCAGCTTTTCCTCAGAACACCAGCTCTGCCCTCCCCAGTCTAACACAGACCCTCCCTCTCTTACCTGCCTCCTTCATGGCCAACTCCGAGTCCTTCTTGTCCTTCCTCTTTTCCTGCTGAAGATTCTCCTGATTCTTCCACTCCTGCACCTTTGCTGAATGTTCTTTCTTGAGAAAATAGCCAGCCCCTAAGCTGAGGAGCATCAGCATGGTCAGGCTCACCACAAAAACTGGCATCCAAGGAGAAAAAGCCTGAGGGAAAAAGGGCTCTGCAGCCCAGCCAGAGACACAGTCAGGGCACACTGCAGGCCAGCCCAGCCCAGCAAAATAAGAGATCCTGTTCTCCTCTAGCCCTGCAGGGAGCAGAAACGGTGCTGACCTGGAATGAAAATCGCCTTCGCCTTTTCCTGACCCAGAATGGGGTTAAAGATGGAGCAGGTCACGTTCCTTACAGAGCTGTCTCTCACCACCAGTGAGGCCTCCACACTGAACAGTCCCTCAACATCTTGAGCATGGACCTCAGAGAAAGCCAGGAACTTCTCTCTACTCGGGTCTTTCCACTGAACCAGAGGCTTCGGAAACCACCCGGAAGCCATGCACACCACACGGATTCCATCTTCCTCTGGTCCTTCAATGTGCACTTGAGGGTCAGATCCCATATCTGCAAGAAAGAAGCTGTGGAGTCAGAGTGGCCACCTTGTCCCAGATGCAGTTCTGGGATCTTAGAAGTGTGACTCACAGGGACTAAATTCTCTTGCATTCAAGGTTCTATGAGAAGGTCTGAGTCTTGGTGTGACATTGTAGGATAAACACTGGACTGCTAACACCAAGGTCAGCAGTTCAAACCCACCAGGCACTCCTAGGAGATCCTATACAGGGTTGCTATGAGTCAGAACAGACTCAAGGGCAGTTAATAACAACATGGTAAGGTCACCCCTAGTGATGGTTAGACTGAGTTCTCACCAAATGGAGTCTGAAAAAGAGCATAAGGACTCTTTTGGGAGCTCTGAGGCTAGATGTTACTAGGCTCTGGTGGCACACTGGATTAAGCACTGGATTGCTAAATGCAAGGTCAGAAATTCAAACCCACCTTAAAGCTTTTCAGCCTAGGTAATCCTATGGAGCAGTTCTCCTCTGTCCTATACTTCAGACTGAACTCAACTGGGGACTACTCTTTCTAACCTCAGAAGAGAAAAGATTGAAGCACAAATTTTTTAAAAAAAGAAGAAATTTAAGTTTATTTTCTTGACATGCAGCTCAGGAAACAAAAATCAATGAACAAAACTAACTCAGACCAGAGATATAAAATAGCATCATTACAAAAATGTTTCAAGGGCATAAATTTAGCTAGGTCCTAATATTATTTTAAACTAAGTTCTTGGTAAAGTTATTCTAGTAAATAAGAAATGTTTGAAATTGAGAGATTTGTGAATTTTGTTCTATTTTGCTTCAATTACTCACAAACCCTTCTTTTGCAAACTGATCTTACTCTCATTTTCTTGTCACATGTCACAAAGTGAGAGGAAATCTCCTTCACTCAAGCATGATTAAGCCTCTGAGCTCCAGAACCTACCGGCCACCATTTCTTCTCCTAAGGCTTGGTCCCATCACAATCACCTCCTTCCCTCTCCTCCTCTCTGCTCACTCTCACCTCTTTCTTCCCATACCATCCTTACTGTTAATCTCTTCCTCTCCATCTACTTCTTCTCCTAAATACATAAACATGTTCAAATGTTTACAGTCTTCTTCCCCTCTTAGAACAATAAACTTTATTATCCAAAAACACCTCTATGTTCACATCTCTCACATATATTTCAGTCCCCAACAGTCTGACTTCTCCTACTATGCACTTGAATCTACTCTTGGAGTTAAAGACAATCTCCTTCTTGGAAGCCCAGCACTCACACTGCAGCCCTTCCTCATCTTTGTTCAGCATGTGACCTTGTTGACTCCATATTGAAGCCAGCTCCATCTTGGCTTGGTCACCCTTCCCTTTTGCTTGGTATGTCACCCCTCAGACCACTCTGCTAAGCCTCTTTCCTGGACTTCTCCCCATCCCCCTACACTTTAAAACCAGGAGAAATATGAGACTTCAAAACTTTGGTCCTTGAATATCTGTTCTCACATCACACTTCTATTTGTTAACTCTGCTTCTCTTTGTAAATCACTTCCAAAGTTATGTCAAGTAAGCAACTTTCTCTCCCAAATCTACCTCCTTTATATGCACATCCCCAGAGGTTACTTTATGAGGATTTCTGACATGCACTTCAAACTCAAAATTACATAACAGAATTCATAAATTTTCCCTTATGTGAGGCTGTCGGTGAATGCTCTAGACTGCAAAGTTGGTTTGAACTGCAAGGTTGGCAGTTCAAGCTCACCAACGGCACCCCGGAAACCCTATACAGGGTTGCTATGGGTCAGAACAAACTCGACAGACTTAACAACCACAACAACTAATGGTAGATTGAATACAAATATAGTCCTGGTCGCTCCCTTCTTTATAGCCAACTCGCCATTTGCTATATCAATACTTTGTAATGCTCTCCCACTCTGACTTTTCAATAGGCCATGTGACTTGATTTGGCCAGTGAGAAATGAGCAAATGTGACACAAGAAAAGGTCTGTAATATACCATTGGACCCTTTGCTATTTCCATGGAGAAACATACAAAGAACGATGAGATTCATGGAGCATTAGCTTGTTACCCTAACCTTTCCTGATGAACCATAATCAGCCATTACTCCTATCATATGAAAACCTACCCAAGGTCCACATGGTTACCTCATAATTTGACCAAAAATATATGAAGGAGCACAGCTGAAATTAGGTAAACTCAGCCCAAGTTAGTTGAATGCAAAAAATTGCTCAAGTTAAAATATATGTTTGCATTTCTTTTCATGCTAGTAGCGCTCCCACAAACATGGTGAACATTCCTAAAATGCACTGGACTTTCTGTAAGAAGCGTGGCAAGCTCCAACCCCACAAAGTGACACAGTACAAGAAGGGCAAAGATTCTCAGTATGCCCAGGGAATGCGGCATTATGACAGGAAGCAAAGTGGAGATGGTGGGAAGACTAAGACAATTTTCTGGAAGAAGGTTAAACCTACAAAGAAGATTGTGTTGAGACTTGAATGTGTTGAGCCAAACTGCAGATCTAAGAGAATGTTGGCTCTTAAGAGATGTAAGCATTTTGAACTGGGAGGAGATAAGAAGAGTAAGGGCCAGGTGATCCCGTTCTAAGCTTCATCTTGTTTTATTATTAAAACAATAAAATATTGATGTTATGTTCGCTTCAAAAAACAAAACAAAACATGTTTTCCTACCACTAAACTGCACATATCTAAGGCAAAGTCCTGAGACTATCTATGCTCCCCAATTCCACCTCTAGACTCTTTTGTTCCCAAATCTACTCACTCAGCTAAGTCTACTTTCTAAATCTCTCTGCTGCCTGACCCTTCGTTTCCCACAGTCATCCTGTCCACCTCCTAACTGCACTCCATGCCTCCAGGTATTCTCCCTGCCAGAGTGAGCATTCCCAGTGCTGCTCTGCTTAACGTTTCCTCAGGTCTGCATCCAAACTCTGTAACACAGAACATAGTAGTTGTTATTGCTGTTAAGTGCTGTCGAGTGGGTTCAGACTCATAGCAACCCTGTATAGGGTTTCCAAGAAGCTGCTGAGTTTGAACCACCAACCTTACAGTCCAGTCTGTATCCTACAGCACCACATCAGGGCTCCAAAGATTTACAGAGTTGGAAACCCTGTGGAGCTGTTCTATTCTGTCCTGTATGGTCAGTATTAGTAGAAATTGAACACAGAGATT